TGGGACCTTCCCCGGTCCTTGCACGGGCTGGCCACCTGGTAGCCTCGGTTCTTACACAAATGGGCACGTTAATGTCAGTGTCTTGGATAGCCGCGGGGTTACATAATTTGCGGGAACCTCTGGAGGTCCCCGCAATTGCATACTTCTTTTAGACCTGTTTCTTTCTGGAAACAAAAAAAACGAATTCGACGTTTGGTGGGCAGCTCTCGTAAGAAAAAAAGAGAAAAAAAACAGGAAAAAGGGATGGATTTTTATGCATCGTGCTGTGTGACCCCTCGGCCCGTATAACCGCATTCCTAGAGCAGGTCGAGACTTTGTCCTTTCTGTTTTGTGACGTATACGGGTGTGCTGTGTGACTGGGAAGTGCCGTATAACTGCAAATTGGCTCACATATAATTTGCGATTGTACGTGCTAGTGTGAGTATGCCCTCAGACTCGCGCAGTTCAGTGGACTCGAGCTTACTGTGCATGAGAGTTGAATCTATCTGTTCCCTGTACCACTTCTGTGTACCTGTCAGAGGAACATGAGTACACCCCAGGCCCTCTAGGGTTGCTCAGACCGTTGCCAATCCCATCAGGGCCCAGAGACGTTGTCTCCATTGACTTCATGGACAGTAGAAACAAGAAAAGTCAGATTATGGTCATCATTGACAGATTTAGTAAATTCACAGAATTTGTACCACTACCTGCAGAAGCTTAGTCAGAATTAGTTATCAAAGAGTTCTTCAATCATTGGGTCAAAGGCAATGGACACTCGTTGATGATAGTTAGTGACAGAGATGTCTAGTTTACAGAGGTGGCAAGAGTTGATGCGATTGTATGGATCTCAGTTGACAATATGTTCAAGTATACACCCCAAGACCAATGGCCAGACCAACCAGGTTAACAAAATGCTGCAACAGACTCTCCGAATGTGCGTTAGACCCGATCAAATGGACTGGGATGAGCACTTACCTTGAGTGGCGAGCGCCTACAACAATTTGGTACATTTGTCCGCGGATAGGACCCCGAATCAGCTGCATAAGGGATGGCAGTCACAGCAACCTGTAGACTGCCTCAATGCTGATCAGGTGCAGCGTTTGGCACCTGGCACCCACAAATTTGCACTATAGTACAAAGAAGACCTGGTGAGATTCAAGGAAAACATCCGACACATTCAGCATAAGATGATCGAACAGGCAAACAAACATAGAAGACCATCTAAGTTTGGTGTAGGTAATCTGGTTTGGGTTAAGTCCAAGGAATTCATTCGTGAAGATGGACATTCTCAGAAACCGTTGCTGCATATAGAGGCCTGTGGGAAGTCATAGATGTTAAACCACCAATACAGGGCCACACATCGGTCGCGGGCCCCTCACCGCGACTTTCGGAGGCCGGAAACACGACAGAGGCCGTTGATGAAATTTATCAATGGCGGCCCGGGCCCGAAATTTTCGGAGTAGGTGACGGGTTTCTTTTCTGCAAGGTTGGGGCTGTGTACTGGCGGCTTAAGGGGGAAGCAGATGTTCCTATCTTTTTTTCTTTTGGGGGGGGAAGGAATTGCTCCAATCTTTTCGTGGGGAGCTCACGTGCTCGGAACTGGGCCCAGCGTCCCTTTTTGAACTTGAAAAGTTCGGGATGATTACTGGGGCCATTACTCGGCTTTGACTAAGAAATTCTGAGGAACTCTGAGAAATTTGTGACCATCCCTGCTACTTGTAAGAATTACCTTTGGTCTGGCGAAAAAAAAAAAAAGTTTGTTACAATTAAAGAAGGGGGAAAAAATTACTTTGCATTGTTTGCAAGCTAAAACACCTAACCCTGCCTCGTCAACCAAACCACCATTCGACCCAATCCCCTTGCCGGCAAGACTTGTCACTGATGAGCCATCATCTTGTAAGCCGCTTGCCCTCCAACTATTCTGAAAGCACAACAATATTAACCGGATGCGAGATGTCGTCATCTACAAACCATCTTTTCACTTAGCCTAGGCAAGGAAGAACCTACCTCTTCGCCATCCAGATATATACTTGCTTGTCCAGCTGGTTCTTACCTGCACTCTTGCCCGGGTTGCCCCCCAACAAGACGAGGTAAGCTGGAGTGATCATGAGAACCCTAGCTGACAATCAGGGGGATGCGTGCATAATCGGACAAACTCCGGGACTATTCAACCATCACCCACTCCCCTCACGACAAAAGGGAAAGGAGAGGAACCAACCTCTCTCGCCATGCAGGTGCACAAACCACTTGCCACTATCTGCCTCCGCCAAGGGTTAGTATGCATAATCAACCCCAGCCCCAGATTAGAGCAACCCTCGAGTCCTGCCCTAACCCCCCCAGGCGGAGCACTTCCCTCCAAGATGCTACCTCCACAGGGTAGGGCTCCCTCCCCATTTCCAGTATGTGGGGAAAGAAACACATCGCAACGAGGCTTCCCAGTATAACCACTGAAAGACACTCCCCTACCCCAAGAGGAAAACACCCCCCCCCTTGTCCATTTACCGCCTCCGCTGAAAGGAGCCACCCTTCTCGTCATCGGCCCCAGTTCTGAACAGGCCCCCTAATCGTTCACCCCCACTCCCTCAAGGACATACAGTTCCCACCTAAAGTATGTCCCCGTGGAGCAGAAGTTCCTGCATTCCCTGCTTCCCACCCTCTCCAAACAGGACGGCCCGCTTAACTCCACTACCCGCTGAAACAGCAACCCTTGCCTCTATTGTCCCCGCTAGGGCTGATCCACACCCCGAAGATTAGCCCTGACCCCAAAAGAGAACAAGCCCTCGTTAACTGGAGGTGTAATTTTCGGCGAATGTTGCACTGAAACAGTGAGACTGTCATATTGTGCTGATTTTTGGCTTTTTTTGTTGCTTTTTTTTTGTGTAATATGTATGTGCTTTAGGGTATGTCATGCGTCCAGTTTTTTTTTTTTTTTGCGTCCAGTTTTGATGTGTTTGGATCAATAATGAAAAAGTTGGCATTTCGTTGAATTCGTTGGACGCTTCATTTTAACTCCATGTCTCCTCATCGTGTTCGTCCTCCTCCTGCCCTTCCTCATCCTCCTTGTCTCCTCCTCCTCCTCGTACTTCGCCATCTTCCATGCCTCCTCGTCTCCTTACCTTCCTCATGTCCTCCCGTTCCTCTCCGTCCATGTCTCCTCCTCCTCCCACTCGTCCTCCTCCCGCCCTTCCTCTTTCCCTCCCTCCATCTCTTCTCCTCCCCCATCTTTGCTCCTCCTCGTCGTCGTCCTCCTCGTCCACATCCTCCTCCTCTCCATGTCCCCATCTACTCGCCATATCCCCAGCTTCCTGTCATACGCCTCCCCCCATCCCCCCTCCCCCTCCAAAAAAAAAATAATAATAGTAATAAAAAACCTGCGCGATTCTGCACAGGCACCCCCTGCACGGAACTCCGCACGGATGTGTGGCTCGTGCGGTTGCAAGTATGTTTTATAGTGTTTTTTTTTTTTTTTTCCGTCTTCTTTAGCCTGTTTGATTTTTGGATGTTTGCACTATGGGCCCATATCGTTTGTTTCTAAAATTTTTGCTGAATTTTGTACTAAAGTTGTCGATGAAAACGGCGAATTTTTGGCCGTCCGTTAACCATCTCTCGAAGCCGTCTACCAGAGATTGCCATGGCTGCTCTCGCCTCACCATAGCTTTACCAAGCGATCAAGAAGGACGCTGCTCAAGAATCGTATGCATGTTGATGCAGTAGTGTCAAACCTCCCCAATGCGCTCTCACACCATAACCGCTTCTCGTGGAAAAGCCAACAGGGCCGCCTGCTTTGTCTTCATAAACACACCCTCCTATGTCATAGATTCCAATTGCCTTGCTTCAGCAATGAACCGTATCCGGACTGAAGGCCGACCGGATTCATGCAGATTTCTCGAACCACACCAGGCTGCTTTTACCCGCCATTTCTTCGCAGCACCATCTAACACGTATGCAAAGAGCATCCAGCCATGAGGAATCATTACCGCCATAGCCCTTCTACCCGTCGCGGGCTCATGTACGAACTGAGTGCTGCAACGCAGCGGTGCAGCGCTCCCAGTACTGCCGCCAGCAGACAGACAGACGGTCCTTCCTATACTGTAGATGTTCCAGCACACCTACGTACCTACCCTGTCTTCCATCCATCTAAGTTACTTCCAGTAGATTTCAACAAGTCATTTCCTTTCTGAAGGTCCTCAGAAACAGTTTTTACTTGGCAGTACCAGGATCAGAAAAGACGGATGGTTCGCTAAAGATCAGCGACTGAGACCGGACCTAGAATTCTATCACACTATGAGCAAGCACACAAGCAAATCAGAATCGCAGACAGGTAAAGTTAGTGCCTTCCTTAGAGGACCTCAAATTTAGGCAGGTGAGAGTGAAAGGATTCACGAATCTCAATGTTCCCGACCATGTTTCTGAGTCCCAGTTTCCCATTGTACCGTCGTCCCGTTCGGTAGACCTATACTGTAGAGGCCCCTAGCTTAGATTCAGACCGTACGAAAGTCGGCAGTATTTTTAGGTCCGCAGGTCCGTAGAGGTCGGTAGGCAGTGCCTGGAAGTCTGTCTGAATCTGTATCAGTCACAGCTCATTCCGGGCGCGGGGGCCGGGCGCTGGGGTGGG